ATAGTAATAATAATAATATTAATATTAATAACTATTTTGATGATGATGATGATGATGATGATGATGATGATGATGATGATGATGATGATGATGATGATGATGATGATGATGATGATGATGATGATGATGATGATGATGATGATGATAATCACTATCAACAACAAAAAACAAACACTTTGGAAACTAAATGGCCTTGAAATCATCCTTGCAAACAAAACCCCCATTAAAAAACATTTTTTCATGGGGGGTGGGGGTGGGGGGTGGAGGAGTGATTCACAATCCAAAACAACAGTGAATTGATCTGTAGAACCAAACAATCTCATCCATTTGGTGAGTCGAATGTAGGTTTAAATAAAAATAATAATGATAACGTCTTGAAGTTATCCTTTCCTACATGCGAGTGTATTTCGAAGGAATATTCGTCTCGAAGAAAAAACACCAAAATCCCCTCAGAAAAGATCACAGAAGCAAGAAGAATTTCGGAATGACTCTTATGAACACAGATTCCAGCTATTAGCTCAAGGGCTTGCTCTTCACGACAGAGAAAAGAGCGGGTGAGATAGAGCGTAGGGCAAGGAGTCGGGGGCTCTGATAGGTCGAGATCTGTCAGTCTGTCAGACTGCCGTCTGAATCGAAAACCTAGTATGTGACAAAATTAAATAAATGTACTACTACTACTACTACTACTACTACTACTACTACTACCACTACTACTACTACTACTACTACTTCTACTACTACTACTACTACTACTACTACTACTACTACTAGATAGATAGATAGATAGATAGATAGATAGATAGATAGATAGATAGATAGATAGTATATTAGCGCAAAGTCCCACTCAACAGCAAGCTTTATGCGCTTTGCAATCCATATTATTACCCCAGCAGACGTGATAGCATTCTGAAACAATCTTAACCTCCTGGGAAGTATACAGTGCAAGCTGTCATTTCCCAGGCCCTAAAAAACTAATATACTGACAAGATCTTTCACTGTCTATGGCTGTGTACCCATTCTCACGTGGATGAAGTGAGGAAAATTTGTGTAAAGCACCTTTCTCAAGGACACAACATCGGGCCTGAAGCTCGACCCCCGAACCCACAACCTCACGGTTACCAGTCAGGTAGCCTAATCACTTGACTACTAACGCCATTATTTAGGCCTTAATTGTCACGAAATCGAAAAAAAGACAACTGTGTGTATTGCTACTTTCAGTTATGCTCGTATTGTGAATAAAGTGAGGTGCAAAAGTGGGTTTACAGTAAGTATCACGAATCATTGTTATAATAATTTTATCTAATTCACTAAAGCTTTCAACTCGTGGAATTAGTTGGCCTTTTTGGGGTATATTTTTAGAGTTACGCATCAAGAATAAAATGGTTTGGCCACCTGCTACGAAAGTCACCTTGCCAGCCAGCCTAGAGAGCCTATAGCACCAAGCACTCAGGCTATAAAAGAAGAAGTAGACCTCACAAAAGATGGAATGAGGAAACCCTGAGAAATTATAACATGCCAATCGAAAGAGCTGCAGGGTTGGCCGACCGTAGAAAACAGCTCCCCCCCCCCCCCCCCCCCCCGACACCGGCAACAGAGAAGGAAAAAGTAATTGTAAAGTGTCGTCAATATTTTATGGTATTTTATCTAATCTCCTAAAAACTTTAATGCATTTTTAAGTATTACAACGAGTACGTGATACTTACTATATGCCTACTTAAGTACCCGCTTGCATAGCGGAGAGAGGCGTCGATTTCAAAGTAAGACAGACAGATGTGCATATTTTCACTTTTTAACCGAAATTCAATATTACTCTTTAAAAAAAAAAAGTTGATTTTTAACCACATTGGCATACACTTGCTTTTTTCCCTTCAGAAGGCAGCATAGAGAAAAATCACTCTAGTGGATCAGAGGACTTCGATTCTCCAGGTTAAACAGGAGATAGAAGCGATTTAAGAGACAGTTGAGATAAGGACGTGTCCTCTCGTGTTTTCGTGGGTAAACAAATTATACATACAGGGAGTGTAGTGGGAAAAGGCGGGTGGAAAAGGAGGGGG